CTACACAGATGGCCCTGTGTGCCTGATCTCCTGTCAGGATTGGGGCCCACATTGCCCCCTGCGGGGAGGTCCAGGCATCCCCGGGTGCCTCCTCCCCAGCTGCCAGGCCCCGGCTTTGCAGAGCTCCACCCTGGGGAGCATGGAGGAGCTGCTGGACAGATTCACCTACTCCATCTCCCTGGACCTGGGGCAGGCTGTCTACACCCAGGAACCCGTTCCAAACCTGGCAACCTGCCAGGGCCCTCCCACGGCTTCCCCACGAGAGTGGCTGACAGGCCCCCTCCAGAGGGCCTGGAACCTCGCTCCCGGGGGTACCCTATGCCTTTCCTTGCTCGCATCCCAGGGGGTTGGGGGTTCTTGGGTGAGCTACAAACCTCCCTTGTCCTGGTCATTCCTGGGTTTCCCACTGACTATATCCCTGCTGCCCACCTCAGCGTGAACCTGAGCCAACTGACCATGGGACTGAGGTCCCCAAGCGCAGGGCTCCCCGGACAGGCGTGAGGAGGAAGTGGAGAAAGTGCACAGCAGGAGTGGAACCAGCTCCAAACACCAGCCGGAGCACTCCTGAGTCCACACTCCCTCCCGAGGACGCTGCCCACCTGACCATGGGCCAGCGGCTCCCCCGGTGAGCATCCTCCCCCTCCCCTGCCCGCGACTCTGCCCACTGCCCGCGGTGTGTCTTGAGTGTGTCTGAGCCGCAGCGTGCTCCTCTGACAGGCAGGGTGGCTGGCGGTCAGCCTGTTAGGGTGCCCACGGGGAACACGGGAGGAGAATTAGAGGGGCTCCCCTGGTGCCCTGCAGGGTAGAAAGGACTGCCGGCCAAGCAGGGCCACTTCGGGACTTCTCTGTACCCGGTGAAAAGCCTTTGGCCTCACCCGTCAGTGGCTTGAAGCCTAGCTCATTTGGAAATGAGCCGTTGGAATGGAGGCTCACAATTCCCTGTAGCTGGGCCCGGTCCTTGTCCTCACCGTAGCCACATGAGGGACCTCTGGGGGCAGCAGAGGGATATGTAGGAAGGTTTGGGTAGGACTTCCTTCAGCAACGATAGGTATGCAGCACCCACTTTGTGCAGACCCTTTGGGGACACTTAGCATAACTGAGTGAAGGAAGCAGACACAGCACTGGGACCCTGTCTTGTGTGGAGTCAGGCAGTCACTTCAGGTGTCATCTGCACGTCACTGCCGGGGAGCATCATGGGGGATGCCCTCACGGCCTCCTCATGTAACAAAGGGCATGACGAGGGGCCAGTGGAGGAACTGAAAATGTGAGCGTTCACTGGGTCCAGACGGGGTGCTGCACATCTCACAGAATGGGGGGAGGAGGAGTTT